TGGCGCTCACCACCTCGGCCCGGATCCGCCACTCCAGCCCCTTCTGGGCCGGCTTCTCGGTGAGTGTGGACCGACCGGCGGGCCCCGGGGCTCGGAGGGTCTGGGCCCCACTTCCGGGGGCTGTTGGAAGCAAACTAGAGAGAGACCTTGAATTGCCTTTGGAATGCTTTTGCATAATCACTGCAATCAACGTGGATAATGGGATGAAGGTTAAAACACACCCATCGTTCCCTGTCCGCACCAATTATTGGGAAAGCCAAGGAAACACACACTCACAAATCGCATCATTTAATAAGCAAATGTAAAGTGAAAAGAGTCAGTGTTACCTGTCTGGGATAGATGGCTGAGTCAGCATCTTGCAAGGAAGGTCATTGGTTGTTTCTGGGGGCTAAGTGGCACTTCCGTCAGCAAGGGGACACTGGATGCTCTTGATCCCTGTGACCGCAGCCATCAAGTTCTGGAGAAGGGCAAGCAGTGGTCACTTCAAGCTCAGAGAGCGATGGCCAGGGGTGTCGGTCGGCTGTTAATCTGTTTTATCAGTAAATCCCTTCCTCCATATGTGCCTGGTGTTGCTGATGCTTTTTGAGCATTTTCCCTTCCACTTCAGGTGGTGTCTGTGTGCCTGGGGCGTCCTTATCTGTTCTTTTCAGGTTCACAGGTTAATTTTAGATTTATGCTTACAGCAGTGGGGACACCTAGGTACTGACCAGAGCAAAGGTAGAGGTTCATGTAATTTTTTTTCCATGTCATTTTTATCCCTCTTTTCCAATGTGGTGATTCTAGGTACTTTTTATTTTTAAGAGGACCAGCCACCAGTACCAGTCATTTCTCAGCACCAGGGGAGGGAGAGTCCTGCTTATGAGGGGAGGGTACCGTAGCTTGAGGTGACTGGTTTGGCTACCAAGCCTCAGGGCTTCACAGGGGTCTGGAAGCTCAGCCAGGCTGCCAGTTACAGGCTTTTAAGGCTCCTGTGAACCTCAAGTGGTCACCCCAGTGCAGAACCAGTGTTGGTGTGTGTGTTCTTGAGTGCTGCCTTTGCAGCTGCCCTGGCACAGCCCTTCTGGTTACTAGCCGTCCCTGTGGCCACTCACTGCCTTAGAGCCCGCTATTACCTGGGTATTAGCTCTGTCCTCCTGGCACCATGTGCCCTCTGGCTGGTAAGACCAGGCCTGTGACTAGTGTCTGGCAAGTGGGTGAAGATGGGGTGTGTTCTCTGAGCTCTAGAACAAGATGATGACCCATTTTCACGCTGATTTGAGAAGCAATGAGTACAAATTTCCATAAGAGAAAGCCACTATTGAAGCAAGTGATTATTCCCGAGTTCATTTTGGGGATTTTTAGGATTTTGAAAACAAAACAAAATAAACAGTTTATATGACTATGAATGAATATATGGAAAAGGGAAAATATATTCCAAGTATTTATTTAAAAAGAGAGAGACTTATTCTGAGAACTTTTGACATCTGTAACTATATTTAGCTTGTGATAGTAAAGTACATTTTTATAGGCTTGAAGAGCTGATTAGGAACAACAAAATGCATGTTAGGAGTGGCAATGAAAGAAAGAAGGATCCTGGCAGGAATCCAAACCAAACTCACTGCCATTGAATCAATTCTGACTCTTGGCGACAGTATAGGATAGGGTAGAACTCCCCTGTGGGTTTATGGGAGTAGAAAACCTCATCTTTTCCCCATGAAGTAGCTGGTGGTTTCGAACAGCTAATCTCCTGGTTAGCAGCCCAATTCAAATGCTCAACTATGTTTAGTCCTCACACATCTGCTGCTCAGTTTTTAGCAGTATTTAATACGCATTCTTTTCATGCTGTCTGTCTTGTGAACACTAAATCAGAACCAGCTTACTGGTGGCAGAGTGGTAGATGAGCTTCGTTTCCTGACTCCCCCTTCAATCCTTCCCATTTCCATTTAGTTTTGGTTTGGGTTTTGGTAAGGAGTCCTAGTAATGCAACAGATAAGTGCTGAGTTGCTAATGAAAGGTTGGCAGTTTGAACCTACCCAGAGGACTGGTGGGAGAAAGACCTTTGTGACCTGCTACCTTAAAGATAGCAGGTGACTGCTACCCCGAGGTTCTAGATTTGTAAGTTCAGAGCTCTTGCTGTGAGGGTGCTCAAGGAATGGTGGCTCAGGATTACCATGAATTTACTACTTTCATGTTCTCTGTGCTTTTTTTTCTGACATGGTTAACATTCTAACCAGGTTAGCATAACAGGTCTGGTTCTTTCTTTGTTAATGTTACTGAGAGTTTTGCTCTATGTCCAAACTTCATTGTTTGCGTAAATAGTATCCAGTCACTTGAGTTTTTCATCTGTTCAAGTCAACCATCCAGGCATTTTGGTCTAAAAAGCTGTCTTATATACATATACTTTCTTTTTATAAACCATTTTTAAAAATTCTATACTATTGGCTAAATTAACGGTACTATCAATAGAGTTACCATATACCCCAGTGGTATGATTTATAATGTTCTCCAACCAAATGATAATGATGTCCCTAAAGTAAACCTGGGACGCCTATAAGCTGTGATATTCAGCACTGAGTTTTTGTCCATGAGGGAACTAGCAAGGTCCGCCCAGGTGACTTGTAAGGAGCCAGAGATAAGTCATGCCCATGTACTCACAGCAACAAAGAATTAAGCCAAAGTTTTATTAAAGCGTGGGTATCATGTCAAAAGAAATGAAGAGGGTCCACCTCGTGAGTTGAGAGGGCCTTGTCTAGGGGAGTGTTCTTTGTTCTTAAAGGCACAATCAAGGGAGTACGAGGTGATGCTGCACCTCTGCAGATGGTCAGGCAACTTTCTAATTAGTTGTTCCATGCATCCGTGGGTCTCGTGCATACTTTCTTTAAAATTTATCGGGACTGTAGCTCTGTGTCAGAATCAGATTGATCTCTGTGTCAGGATGTTTCAGATATTCACAAGAGCCTAGCTTCAAGGTTAATGTTTTTACCAGGTCTCTTCTCCCAGGGTCTATCGTTCATTCCCTTAGCGGGCAGAATCCCTGTCATAAACCAGAGATATATGAATGGATTTTGAGCTCAAACTTAATCATAGCCCTAATCTGAGAACAATTAGTTCTTTTTTTCTGATTTCAAATGTATTACACAACTCCGTAATCAGAACTGTGAGTCCAGAAATAAACCCACCGTACACTGGTCCACTGATTTTTAAAAATGTATTTTGTTGCTGAGAATATACTCAGCAAAACATATACCAATTCAACAGTTTCTATATGTACAATTCAGTGACAGTGACTGCATTCATGTCTGTTTGATGCCACATACATAGTTTGTAAACATACATCATGAACTAAGCAGGATATGCTGCTAATTGAGCTGAACTATTATTTGATTATAAGAAGACCTCGGGATATTTTTGGTTTAAGGTTTAAAGATTATTTCACGAATAGTTTTAGAGGTTCATCCAACCTCCATAGCTCCAAAAAAGTCTGGAATCTATGAGAATTTGCAACTGTGTTCCAATAATCATGATTCATGGTCATAATAAAAATATTCAGCAATGTTAGCCAGATAGCATACAGTTCTAGTTCCATGTCAAAGATGGCAGGTGTTCATGGAAGCAATTAGCCATAAAATCCATATCCCCTTCATATTCCTGGTTCTCCTTCGTACTCTTGGAGTATAGTACAAAGATTTTTGCAAAGGATATTAAGTACATTCTCTGGGTAAAGCAGAGTCTCTTCAATAAATAGTGTAGGGATAACTGGACTTCCACATGTAGAAAAATGAAACAGGATCCATGCATGCCTCACATCATACATAAAAACAAACTCAAAATGGGCCAAAGACCCAAATGAGCAAACTAAAACCATACAATTGTTATAAGAAAATAGAGGGAAAAGGATGTTGACCCTTGCTTTTAACAATGGATTATCTAATGTGATAGCAAATCCACAAATAGCAAATATAAATGGAACCTCAAAATGGTTCATAAGTTTTTACTTTACTATAAAAATGAAAAGAAAAGATATATGTATATATATATATATTTTTTTTTAACAACTTAACAAAAAGACAAATAACTCAATTAAAAAATGAGTCAAGCCTTGAACAGATATTTTACCAAATAAGACATTCAAATGGATATCAAATACATTAAAAGATACAGAAAAATACAAATAAAACCACAGTAGGATACCATTTCATCGACTCAATGGAAGAGGGTTAGAAAAGTTAAGATTAAAAACAACAACAAAATACCCAGAAAATAAAACATGATGGTAAGGAACTCTTACCCATTTCTGGTGAGAATACAACACGGTACAGCCACTGTGTAAAACAATGGCACAGTTCTTTAAAAATCTAAAACTAGGGTTACCATGTTGTTGTTAGGTTGGCTGACTCAGGGTGATTCTTTGTAAAATAGAATAAAACATTGCCCGTTCATGAAATATCCACAGATTTGTTATGTTTAAGCCCATTGTTGCAGCCACTATGTCAATCTATCTACTGAAGGTCTGCCTCATTTTCAGTGTTTCTCTACCAAGCATGTCTTTCGTCAGAAGCTCATACCTCTGGATGACAAGTCCAAAGAACATGACATGAAGTCTCACCATCGTTGTTTCTAAGGTGCATTCTGGCTGTACTTTTTCCACGACAGATTTGATGGCTCTTCTGGCAGTCCTTGGTAATTTCAGTATTCTTCACCAATAGTTTCATAATGCAATTACAGTTTAACAATGCTTAGACAGAAGCCTAAAGACATATCAAAATGTAGTATTGCCATGCCAGCTTCAAGAAGTTCTTCTTCACCTTTTAATAGACTTTTCACCTTTAAGAAAAGTCCAGCTGGATTTAAATGTTCTTTTTTTGGGCCAGGGTGATAGCACTGAGAGCTTTGCCATAATAGTCTCTGTCGTCCCAATCTAGATACGTGGTGCCTAGTAACCGTAGAACTCTAGCCAATCGTTCTAGCCCAGTAGATTTCTTATTCTTATTCCCAACATCATAACTTTGGCCAAGGCATAAAGGACTCCCATCACACTCTGCTTGTAGGTTTCCACTCCAACACTGTAACAGAGAATATG